GGTGGAATAGATTTTTATGGTCTTCATGGAGATTTTAACTTTATTGGTCAATGTAAATATAAATCAAAAAAGAATGATTTTATAAATCCTTCGGATATTAGAGATTTTATTGGAACTGTATCTGATCAACCAGTAGGAATTGTAGGTATTTTTTTAACAACAGGAAAATATTCAGATAGATCCATATTACGAGCAAAAAATAGTAAACAATTAATTTATTTAACTAATTTAGAAAATTTAGAAACTACATTATTACAAATTTCTATTGATTTAAAAAAAATTAAAGATGTAAAAATTAAAAATGAATATCATGAAGACATGAATATTGTTGAAAATATAGAAATATCGGTTAATAATCAACAATATAATTTTTTTAATATTTTTTCTGTTACAGGTCAAGGAAATGCTAATATTAAAATAGGTAGAATAGTTTTTAAAAATAATTAATCTATTTAAATTTAAATTTATTGTGTAAATAATTTAGTATTTTTTTTTAAAAATTTTTAAAAGTTTATAAATTAAATGATTTATTTAAAATAATAAAATCGAAAAAAAAAAAATAACGTTTTAACTAACTGAATGAAGGATGTATTTTTTATTATTAATTTATTTTTTAAACGTTGAATTATGGTCTTTATCAACATTAATTATTAATTTTTTAAACCCTGAATTTGGTATTTACTTATCTATTATTGATTATTTTATTTTGGACGATAATTAATGAGAAAAAAAAAAAAAAAAAAAAAAAAAAAAAAATGGAATTTGATCAATTTTTTGATTTGTACAATATAATTTTATTATTTATAATAATATTTTTAATTTTCATTTTTATAAAATATTTATGTTTAAAATTTGAACAAGGTGAAAAAAATGAAAATATTTTTAAAGAATCATCAGATGAATCATTATCAGAAGAGGATGAAATAATTTTTGATAAATTATTTGAAAAAACTATAAATTTAAATTTACGTGATAAATTATACGGAAAAACATATACACAAAGATATTTTTTAACTAATGAAATATTTAATATTATTAAGGAACATAATTTATTTCATAAAAGTTTACGATTTGAAGAAGGATATTTTATTTTATGTATTGATCACGTAAAAGTTTCAAATTTATTTGATAAAAATGGTAATTATGATGATTTAACTAAACTTTTGTTATATAGTTTATCAAATGGTAGAATATGGATTAGATAAAATATTTTTAATAAATTTTTAAAAGTTGTTATAAATTAATAAAATGTTTAATCTTTATTGAAATAAAATTAAAAGATTTTTTTAAAATGAACAAATTACCAACAGAAATAATCATGGAAATAATGGAAATATTAAATATTAATGAACAAATGGAAACACTATGTAATTATAGAATGATAAATAAAGAATATTTTAAAATAATTAAACTAGTACAAACGAGAAAAATTAAATTTCAAAAAGAAAAAATATAAGAAAGAATAAATTACTCGATAATATTTGGAAAATGTACCGTAAGAATGACTGATATACAATATGAAAAAAAAATTGATCAAGCAATAAATTATACTATATTAAAACAAGCAATATTATATTCAGATTATTTTAAAGAAATAAATTTTTCTTGAACGGTAATTTTATTTGAAGAATTAAAGACAAAAAAACCAGAATCTATTAAAATATTTAAAGCAACAGAAGAAATGACAATAAAAGAAACAAATGAAGTAATAATTTTAGGAGATATATATTATTATATATCGTATATTTTTAAAAAAAATGAAAAAATATTCAAGTTATATTCAAAACTTTTTGAAAAAATAAAAAATAAATTTAGGTTTATTAAGAGATATAGAATAGAACAGGTAATATTACGAGATAAAAAAGAGAGTTATACAAAGGTTTATGAAGGATATATATTTTAA